ATGAAAATCCATGTAGCATTTCAAAAGGATGGCGTTCTCTACTCAAGTGATGAATCCTGCTACTGTTCGGGATGTTTGCAACGGAATAACCTCTGTCCAGACTGGCAGTGACGTCAGCTAACGGTTGTCACAGATCACAATGCGTCCCCCAATGATCCATCTTCAAAATCAGTCTTTGTTCCAACTGTAGACAAATTTGTTGCAGTAATGTATGATGAGCAGTGGTACATTGGACAGATCTTAGAAATTGACATGATTGGTGGCGATGCCAAGATATCATTTATGGGAAGAAGTGGGAAGGCAAGAATCCTACTTTCAAGGTCCAATGAGTTATAGCTGAAGACATCCTACATATTGATCATTACCAGTTGGCAAGACGAAACGACAATACACAATCAAAGTGATGATATGTTAGCTGAACGCTACAGCTTTCTCACACATTGTCATCTGGGCGCAACTGTTCATTAACGTTGACAGTTACCTTATGAACAGTTGAATCTTATTAACAATAATTGAATGATTGTTTCGTTAGAAGTTCCCTTATTGGTTTATTAGTTTTGTTGAGAAAACAAAATGTGTCGCATTACAATGTTAATGGTTGTTTGTGTTGATATTGTGTTACGGTACTATCCGACAATGAATGTTGATTTTGTTGTTTTAAAGTAATATCCAACCATGAGAGAAGTCCATCAGATACGTTAAACAGGCATCTTCTGTCTCAGTGTCACAGGTGTTTAGTTGAGAACATATTACAATGTTAATGGTTGTTTGAGCTGATGTTGTTGTGTTGAAGTGATATCCGACATTGAATATTTGAGATGTTGCTGTTGTGTTAAACTGATATTAAAAAATATACACATAATGAGAGATGTCCATCAGATACATTAAGCATGCATCTTCAGTCTCAGTGTCGGAGGTGTAAAGGATATCTATTCTCATAATATGTATTTTGTTTCAAATAGTTGTGTTATCTCATGGAAACATGTTTGAAGGAATTTTGAATAAAGTGAAAAAGAACATCAGATACGTTAACTTTTTAATCATTTTTTTATTTCATGTTCCTGAAATCCGCTCCTTAGAAGCAGTGATTTTACTTAGTCCACCATAAAGAAAACCTTCAACTAGCTTTGCATAAATACCGCGCCTCACTTCCGGGGACAGTCAAGTTGTGATTTAGAACGACAAATACCTATCAATTTTTTCAAATGATCTGAAGTTATATGTCTTCTTCATATTTACTGTACATCACGAACTCTTTCGATCTAAGACATGATGTATGATGAACTATGATTAACAATACATTCACGAACTCAACAACCAATGCTGAAAAGAACATATTGTTTACATTTTCAAAGCAGTATTTTTCTTAATTTGTGTACTATGTTAACGTATCTGATTTTCTGAAATTTGATACGCATTATTTAAGGCATTGCTTAAAATGAATTTAAATCAGATTTGGGTCATCAAGTTATTGTTCCAGATATCTTCTGTCTTCTAGACAAAACTTATAAAGCGCATAATATTCGGAAGAATTTTTGAAATGTTAAAGCCATTAAAGTGCAGGCAAACAGGTGAGTGAGGTGAAATTGGGTTTAACGTCGTGCTTGAAGAATATTTCGCTCATATGACGACGTGCATGCGTGTGTATGTGTATGTGCGGCTGCTTGTACCTAGCCCAGACTTAAGCTGGTTTTATAGTGCTAGCTCACTGAGATACCATGCCGCAGTGAAGCATGAATACCCCATTCAGACACACGGTATACTGACTCCGAGCCGACCAGTCCTTGTTGTACCCATTAATGCCGAGCGCCAGGCGGGGACCAACAAGTACTATATTTACACAACGTCTTTGGTATGACGCGGTCTGGGATCGAACCCGCGACCTTCCGCTCTCGGGCGGACGCTCTAACCACTACACCACGGAGGCGGTCGCAGGTAAAACAGGGGAATACACTGGAGCAATTACGTGGCTGCTGTTGCCTATAGTTCTTAACCAGTGGACTGTAACGGAAACATGGCGACGCCCTCGCGTTCAGTATATAGTCGTCGTGATACACTCAGCTGTAGAATGCGATCATTTAGACTGGACTTCTCTCAAAACAAGATTTCTTTCTCAGATAACTAATTTTGTTAGAAATATTTGTGCTATTACAAAACCAAGAATAGCTGTAATGGAGCAAACGAGTTTGATTTCCACGCTGCCTTTAACTGTATTCCTGTTATATTACGGCATTTCGTGTTTATGTGGTATAATGCAGGTTTCATATGTTTACCACTTTGCGAAGCCTAAGAGTAGTTTGTTGCTTAACGCCGAACTGATCAATATTCCAGCTATATGCGGGCGTGGGTTACTGAAAAACCAAGTCTAACTCGGATCTTCACAGGTAGAAACATAAGAGGACACTCCGGACGCACGCCAGTTTTGGCGTTGCTGAGCGAATTTCAGGATTGCTGTCTGTGTTCAGGAAAAGATGCATTTGGGGTCGTGCCCAGTGTTTCCTCTCTTCTGTACTGAAGATGAACTTAAAACATGAAAGTAGACGCAATCAGCGCATGATGAGTAACAAATCGAATGTATTGCTGGGTGCTTGTGTCATTATTTTATTGAAATGTCTGTACATCAAAGGGCTTGTGGAGACCCAATGACCTCCGTTGGGCTGACGTCTTAGAACAAATGTTTCGTGAAGAAACTTGCAGCCAAAAAACCGTCAGAGACTTAGTAACAGCTGTGGTATGAAGCAATAAGAAGCTTTTATTTCGTTTGAAATTCAGAAAATGAATCTGTTTGTTTCTCCTTCAACAGATATTCACGAATTCAGTCTTTAACTAAGTTTCATATTGTAGTTTAGGGTGGTGATTCAGAATAGTGGCCAATGCACCAGAGGCGCCGGTGTTTTTTCACACAGAAGATAAGAATCCAGTTCAAATTGCGTCCGATTTGACCCGGATTGCTGGATTCTTTACATGACTTGACATACGAGGAATATATATGATATATATGCTGCTTCATTACGTCAGGGGGCGGTGGGGTAGCCTTGCGCGTTAAAATCGTTCGGTCGTCACGTCAGATGCCCGGGAATACATGGGTACAATGTGTGAAGCCCATATCTGGAGTTCCCCGCCGTGCTATTGCTGGAATATTGGTAAAAGCGGCGTAACACCATATTCACTCACTCACTCATTACGTCCAGCACAATACATTTGTGAATGGATTCCGGTATTCGTAAAAGCTACTACGTGCTCATTTTGAATACTGAAGGAATTATGCCAAGTTTAAAACAACCCGTCAAATGAACGTTTAACAACATGTATAATTGTCATAATGTCTACCCGTTGGTGTTATCCATACTCTCATTTAAACCAGACACATCTTAACGGGGTCTTAAAGAAATACAGCTGACCTCTGACTAACGCCAGAACACACATCCATATGAATTTGGTCAGTTTGTTCCACATCATTCTAAGATTTGGAAATCTTCAGGAAATCATCCCTATTGCCAAAAGCCAAAACCAGCTGCGCTAAATGACTATAGACCAGTTGCCCTGACATCGGTAGTTGCCATGAAATGCTTCGAGAGAATAGTGCTGCAATTTCTACTCCATAACGTCGCAGAACAGTTCGATCCGTGACAGTTCGCCTACCGCTCCAAGCGCGGAGTCGAGGATGCAACACTAACTATTCTTAACAATGTATATAAACATTTGGAAAAAACACGATCTTAAGTACGCATTATATTTGTTGACTTCTCATCTGCTTTTAACTTTGAATTCAGCCACATCTTTTATTGGAAAAACTGTTATCTATGAATGTGAATTTTAACCTCTTGTTATGGAATGAAAGCTTTTTAACTGAAAGACCACAATTTGTTAGAGTGAATACATCTCACTCAAGAGACACTGATCACCAACACTGGAGCCCCACAGGGTTGCGTAATCTCCACCAGTGCTGTTCATATTGTCCACAAACGACTTTGTTAGCCAGCATGGTGATTGCTCTATTGTTAGAAGTTTGCTGACGACGCAGCTCTTGTAAGCCTGTTGACCAACACCGAGGACGCCTACAGACAGGAAATCGTGAATCTCACAAGCTGGTGTAAAGACAATCACTTACTGCTCAATGTGTCTAAAACTAAAGAGATGATTATTGATTTTAGAGCACGTAAGCCTGAGCATTTACCAGTCACTGTCCATGGTTCAGATGTTGAAATTGTCAAAAACTACAAATATCTTGGAACAATAATTGATGACAAATTGAACTGGAATGATAATACAGATGCTTTATACAAAAGGGTCAACAACGTTTATATTTCTTGCGGAAACTTCGCTCTTTTAATGTTGACAAAACTATTCTTTCACTGTTTTATCGTAGTTTTATTCAAAGCGTCTTAACCTTCTCAATCCAGCGCTGGTATGGATCCCTATCAATTCAAAACCGAAACAAACTTAACAAAATCGTAAAATTAAGCAGTAAAGTCGCAAATGTGGTTTCGACCCTTTGGCTTACGTGTATGAGGAAAGAGTGTTAACTTTGGCAAGTAAAATTTTACATGACTCCTCACACTTTTTAAACACAGAATATAAACTTTTACCTTCTGGCAGACGTTTCCAAATTCCAAAATTTAAATAAAACAGAGCCCTGAGAAATCGTTCATCCCGTCCAGCATCGGCTTTTTAAACAATATATTATATATCTTTACATACAAATCTTATCCGTACCTGTATATGTACACTGTTGTTGTTATATTAATCATAACGGTTTTACCCGCATATTTGTAACCTGTGTTCAATAATTTATTTTACAGTACATTTACCTGTAAGAAACGCTCTTATATTTATCTTATTTATCCTATATTTATATGTGCGCTCTGTGAGGATGTACAGCAACACAAATTCCCATTCAGGGTAATAAAGTTTTTTCTTTCTTCTTCTTAAGGTATTGTATCCAAGTGATAGTTATGAGGTTGGTGAGATATTGGTTAATTTTTTTTCTTTCATTTCAGTTCAATATCAGATTGGCCTAACAGTTTTGCTGGTGCATGTCAAGATCACAGTTGTCCTAATGACCAATATTGTGAAGACGTTGATGGTGCCCCAACCTGCCACTCGATCTAATCGGAAGAACGGCACAGTTTCCTCACTTGTGTTGATTCTGCAGTATCTTGAGGAAGACCACAATGTGCATGTGAAGAACAAAATGCTCAAAACACACAAAAGACGTGTGAACAGTTTCTTGACTTAATTCTATATATGGACGTTTTGCGTGCGGCGTTAAGCAGCAAATATATGAACAGAATTGAAAGAATTTAAATTTAATCGGACAATCAAATCGTTTCCAGTTAAGTCTTCATATCGATGTAATGTCTAACAACCTTATTTTCAATGCGATTTCTTGTTGCTCCTAATTTAGATTTGATGTAAATTATTTCATTTCAAACATGTGTTAGATTGTGTTACAATTTACGTCGGAACAATGTGTCATTGACAAAATACTCTAATATACTGAACAGCAAAAGAAACGCAAGTTTCGAAAAATGAAATCTCATAAAAGTAAGCGTTTATGTTTATGTCTTCTATTTTAAAACTTGACAAAAGCCAGAGTTTTTCGTTTCTTTTTTGTTGTTCCGTATACATATATGCTTTTGTATGTTGTGCAATATATGAACTGTATTATGCTATGTATCTTGCATGCACATAACAGTTCATGCGACTGGATGCTGATATGATAGATAAACCGTTCTACACTTTCTGGTAAAGAAGATACACTATGGGTACACAAATTTCTGTCACTGCTAATACAACACTATGTCGTTACTGTGTACCTCTTTAATCCAGAACCTCTGGGTAATGTAACGTGTACCTACTCTCACACATTACTTCAGCACTATTTATTGTGTCTATATTTGTGTGAGGATTTGAGCAGCTTTTCAGAAAGCACCGTCATTCTATAACACATAAGAACAGAATACAAACTTACAGATATCGCATCAAGATATATTTTGATTCATTAACAACATCCCTCTTGGTACCCCAGAAAATGTCACACACTGACATATCAAAGTACGATGAAATCGATGATCATAGGCTTACTTACCTCTAGAATTTGTACATTTTGTAGATATATCTCTGTAATAACATGCTTTGTCTCACTGTAATATTTGTATATGCTACTTTTCATTTGCCCAGAGTTATCCATTGGTAGAAATACATCAGATAATTTATAAAATAGGAATTGATTCGACAAACCGAAATGAGTTTAGGGAGGGGTTGTCAGGTGGCACGTTGGCAGTCCCATTTCTGGCAGTGAGATTATCACACCTTTTAATTGGTCTAGCGCGCTGTTCCATTTCTGGCAGTATGCTGTTCACACCGCTTAATTGATAGGTAATAAATTGCTAATTGGACTTGAGTAGGCTAATTAAATGGGTCAACTGAATCGGTCAATGATACCTTACCAGGAGAGACACAAGCAAATAAAAGAAACATGGTTAGCAGCATTAATTACATCAGATTAATTATAGTTAATTTTCAAACCTTCTGTCTGAATGTCTAATGAGATTGTAGAGGTGCCACATATCTGTAAGAAAATTTAAGATGAAATTGGGATTCTAAGCATATTTTACATGGCAAGATATATTTTTGTGACAGATCATTATTTAGAAAAAAAAATCTCATTTTGTTTTGATTAAAATATGAAAATAAATATTCCTATTTACTTGAAAGTGTGAATATTAGATTAGAAATAATATTTGTTTATGCTGGTTATCTTTGCATCAAAACAAGTGTTTAATATCTATAGAAGCCTGTACATAATACTGTCAGTTAAATAGACACTATTCTCAGTTTCATATTTTTACACTACACTAACTGTAACAAACAGAACATTAAACAATTGTTAAAATATGTTTATGACACGGCAAACTACAAAGCCAGTTTTCTGTTTAAATAATCAATAAATTGAAGGTAATTATTTATATTCCCTTTCAAAGTGAAAATGACATAATCACCTGTAATGTCAAATGTGAGCATAATGTTAATTTTTTCAGATTGCTTCAAAGTATATGCATTGATATACCTGGTATACATGTAAATGGACTGTACAGTTCTTACACTTAAAAAAATATGTATTAACCTTTTTGTTTTGAAATATCAGCTAATTATTTAGGTGTTCCATTGATAATAATAATTTTCATATCGGCATTTTGCAGGTGTTACTCTCCTAAAACAATATACTTTCATCAGAAGCGCTTTGTCACACACATATTTATAATGTGTCGTGACCTTGACATAATGCTCGTTGTTTTTCGTTGTGAAAATACTAATAATTGGCAGCTACAGTGAATATATTAGGCAAATATAATTGTTGTAGGTTGTAGTGAAGTGAGGTTACGTTTCCATGCAAACAAAATTATTTAAAGTAAACATAGATAGTTGCAGTCGAGTCATAGTAACATCATGAAAAAGATCTAGCAGGTTTCGGTAATGCTGTAGTGAGTGAAATTAACTTGGCAGTTTGTGGCCATCATTCCTACTGCATATAACGTTGTAACATTAAGTTAAACTCCTGCTTAAAAAAATTAAGAATACATTGATAGTTCGAGCCTGTAGTCATATGTCTGCTTACTCATTTGCAAAGTAATCTGTTCATACTGACACACGTACCTTAAAAAGACACGTCACCTTCAAAATCAAAGGCAACACGTGTAATCGTGGCCATCGTTTCAAATGCTTTAAAACCCTACTGTCATCGTTTGGTGCTTAGTTAAGCTGTGTAATATTTATTGTCACACGCAGCAACTTCAGTATCCCTTCGAGTCTTTATCAGAAGGCCAGGGTTTCGTAAAGTGTAACTGTGCTGGCAGCAAGAGATGTGGAACCAAGATTGCAAATATTATAAGAACAATCTTCTGTGCAACAGCCGGTGTCATTCAAGTCTCACTTGTCAAAAGAAGTAATGCAAAGCTCCATGCTGAAACTGGATAAATACAGTGTTCACTTTATTTGTGTGTGTGTGTTTCATTTTTTTAACTTAAACGATTTAGTCATTTGGTCAAATGACAGAGAATTTTAGTCTTTTCCCTCCAGAAATAGCATACTCTAATATGTTGTAGCTATACTTGTTTAAATAAACATACTTATAGGACTCATGGTGCAAGCTCTTCCGTTCTGATGTTTGACAGAGAAGATGTGACTATTTTAGTCTGCTCATCCTATCTAAAGCGACCGCGTTGTAATGATCTGATTTTTCAACAATTGCCTGATTATTTATATGTTATATATAAACTATTTGACATGATTATTAGTTGACTGAAACTCGATTCGATCACGTGTCATCGAGCACTGGTGCACAAGGTCGTGGCTCATACCATCAGTGATCACAGCAGAACGAAACCCATGCTAATCTTGTCTTCTCAATAATCCCTGTTCAATAAGCAGTCAATCTGTACAATAGGTTAAATAATCAGGCAATGTACACAATGCCTGGAAATATTAGACAATGTACACAATGACTGAGTGAATCAGGCAATGTACACATTGCCTGATTGTAGACATTGACTGTAACATATACAAAATCACAGAGTGTCAACGAGCCATGCCACATCCAGTTAGACACACACATTAGTATGTATCAGATCTGGTGCGTTTCACACATTTATCATTCCGTGGTTTCATGGAAACATCATATGGTTCCCCCCACACCATCATAAAACATATGGCGCACTATAACAACAGCTTGCTCACTTCTACCTCACCTAATGAGTGAGTGACTTTAATTTTACGCCACTTTAAGCAATGTTCAAGCAGTTGTCACGGCGTTGGACACCAGAAATGGGCTTCACACACTGTACCCATTTGGGGAATCGAACCCGGATCGAACGAACGCTTAACCAGTAGGCTACCCCACCGCCCCCTTACCTTATAGAAAACAACCTAATAGCTAAATGAAAGTAATAATAAGAACAAACTTCAAGAATCCTGTTAACGGAAGAATGCTCCATTACATGGATGAAAGCCGTCGACACAGGGGGAATTACCAGTTACAATTGTCTGCCGAAACATATTCCACAGTTGTGAAACTTTAATGAACTTAGATAAGTGAAGTCTCATACAACGTCCCAAGTGAACTACACTGTGACTTATAAATTCTTGTGATCGTGCACCGTTGTTCCTGAAATGGAAACATCTGTCAGCAAAGTCAACGCACATTGCAACCTGTTCCAAGCTGAAGTGACATTTGTATTCTAAGCTTCCTGAGGTCAATACAGCCATCTGTCTTTTTCGCTAAGCTAATTGGCAAGTAGGACGTGTGTTCATACACTTGGACTGGTATAAATAGAGTTCAGATTTCTTGAACTACATCTTTACAAGATGAGTATTCCTACTTTCCTATTTTTCACCATGATGAGTTCATGTTCCCATATTGTCAACCCGTTTCGTGTGTGCACTGAACTCAGAAAGATACCCCGGTTGCAACTGGATTATAATCTTCAGGTATCTTCGTCTTACTTCAAAACGGTGAAGCCAATATCACTTCTAAAGTGTGCGCGACGATGTCAAGGATGGACACTGTGCAAGTCTTTTGATTATGCAACAGATGTTTTCCAATGTCAACTGAACAAGGTCAACAGCTCTGATCGTAATCCATGGAATCTCAGAGCCCAGTCAGATTCGGTTCACAGGTAGATGTTTTATCACTTACCCCACTTTAAACCTTTGAAACCATTTTAAAGGCTTGTCCTTGAATTTGAAGGTCACTTAAAGGAGGTTACTGTTTAATCGATGGCATTTAAAGTTTTTTTTGTTAGCGTGTCTGAATGTGTATTATTATAATAGAGAATTCAGCTTGTTTGAAATAATACACAGCAGTGACAGATTTCAAAATGAATCGGACAAACAGATATCAATAGCATGGAACTTTTTGTGTCTGTTAAAGATCACATATACTCTAGGGGGTACAAATACATAAATCACTCCCATTGGAATCGTTATAAATGAAACCCCGTCATTAAAACTACTCATTTCGATCTTAAATTAACTTAAATCGACCTTTTTAGACAACAGTGCACAATATTCACCCGCGAACGAAATTTCAACCAATCAGAGGGGCGCGTCTCCGTGACGTCATGTGAGGAATAGATATGAGGGCCCATGTAGAATTCATGTACATTTCAGGGGTACATTATCTTGTTTACAAGTTTGTATAAACCTGAAATCGTGACAATTGTTGTGAAAAATGAAAGCTATATCTTCTCACAACCTACTGTTATTTAGTTTTGTCTCCTGCTTTGCCTAGATTCCGAGTTACAACTTGCTTTCATAGACGATTCTGTCAGAATAGCTTGGTGTAGCTTAGGCTTTATTTGTTTGAGCCAGACGCTAGTGATAGTGAAAACGATGATCAGCCCTCGCTCATCATGGTTACGGTTAATTTCTTCAACCTAAAACAGTGCGACATAAGGAAGGATGGATGCCCATCAGATGCAGTTATTTGAAAATATCCCCGGTAACTCTTGTCTGAGTGTAATAAAGTATCAAAGCAGTGTGGGCTTTTTTCAGGTTTTCTAATGCCTGGATGGTA